GCGAGCCTCGTTGCAATACTCAAAGACCTGTAATTTGATTTTGTTAATTTTGCCCAGGAGGGCTAGTTATTGGGCAGCGTCATTCATCTTTTGAGGGAACATAGTGCCATAGTGGCATGTCCCTCCCCCCCCCTCTTTCCTCCCCCTCCCCCAGACGCAGCTGGATCTTAATGTTTCTGCGATTTGTCTTATGTACGCGGTGTGCAGTGATCAACACGACTTCTTATTTGGGTTCCTGAACGATGTTCTGACTTTTGCCAGCGTGTACGTGCCTGCGGGCGGCGGTGTGTGTGCCTGCGGGCGGCGGTGTGTGCGCCTGCGGGCGGCGGTGTGTGCGCCTGCGGGCGGCGGTGTGTGCGCCTGCGGGCGGCGGGTGTGTGCGCCTGCGGGCGGCGGTGTGTGCGCCTGCGGGCGGCGGTGTGTGCGCCTGCGGGCGGCGTGTGTGCGCCTGCGGGCGGCCGTGTGTGCGCCTGCGGGCGGCCGTGTGTGCGCCTGCGGGCGGCCGTGTGTGCGCCTGCGGGCGGCCGTGTGTGCGCCTGCGGGCGGCCGTGTGTGCGCCTGCGGGCGGCCGTGTGTGCGCCTGCGGGCGGCCGTGTGTGCCTGCGGGCGGCGGTGTGTGCGCCTGCGGGCGGCGGTGTGTGTGCGCCTGCGGGCGGCGGTGTGTGTGCCTGCGGGCGGCGGTGTGTGCGCCTGCGGGCGGCGGTGTGTGCGCCTGCGGGCGGCGGTGTGTGCGCCTGCGGGCGGCGGTGTGTGCGCCTGCGGGCGGCGGTGTGTGCGCCTGCGGGCGGCGGTGTGTGCGCCTGCGGGCGGCGGTGTGTGCGCCTGCGGGCGGCGGTGTGTGCGCCTGCGGGCGGCGGTGTGTGCGTCTGCGGGCGGCGGTGTGTGCGCCTGCGGGCGGCGGTGTGTGCGCCTGCGGGCGGCGGTGTGTGTGCCTGCGGGCGGCGGTGTGTGCGCCTGCGGGCGGCGGTGTGTGCGCCTGCGGGCGGCGGTGTGTGCGCCTGCGGGCGGCGGTGTGTGCGCCTGCGGGCGGCGGTGTGTGCGCCTGCGGGCGGCGGTGTGTGCGCCTGCGGGCGGCGGTGTGTGCGCCTGCGGGCGGCGGTGTGTGCGCCTGCGGGCGGCCGTGTGTGCGCCTGCGGGCGGCCGTGTGTGCGCCTGCGGGCGGCGGTGTGTGCGCCTGCGGGCGGCGGTGTGTGCGCCTGCGGGCGGCCGTGTGTGCGCCTGCGGGCGGCCGTGTGTGCGCCTGCGGGCGGCCGTGTGTGCGCCTGCGGGCGGCCGTGTGTGCCTGCGGGCGGCGGTGTGTGCGCCTGCGGGCGGCGGTGTGTGTGCCTGCGGGCGGCGGTGTGTGCGCCTGCGGGCGGCGGTGTGTGCGCCTGCGGGCGGCGGTGTGTGCGCCTGCGGGCGGCGGTGTGTGCGCCTGCGGGCGGCCGTGTGTGCGCCTGCGGGCGGCGGTGTGTGCGCCTGCGGGCGGCGGTGTGTGTGCCTGCGGGCGGCGGTGTGTGCGCCTGCGGGCGGCGGTGTGTGCGCCTGCGGGCGGCGGTGTGTGCGCCTGCGGGCGGCGGTGTGTGCGCCTGCGGGCGGCGGTGTGTGCGCCTGCGGGCGGCGGTGTGTGCGCCTGCGGGCGGCCGTGTGTGCGCCTGCGGGCGGCCGTGTGTGCGCCTGCGGGCGGCCGTGTGTGCGCCTGCGGGCGGCCGTGTGTGCGCCTGCGGGCGGCCGTGTGTGCGCCTGCGGGCGGCCGTGTGTGCGCCTGCGGGCGGCGGTGTGTGCGCCTGCGGGCGGTGGTGTGTGCGCCTGCGGGAAGCGGTGTGTGCGCCTGCGGGCGGCGGTGTGTGCCTGCGGCCAGCGGTGTGTGTGTGTGTGTGTACAGGACGCCTCCCAGATCACTCCCACCTTCCCTTCCCAACTGTTATACTGGCAGTCGTGGCCGGGTCGTCAGCGAGGCCTGGCGGGTTACATGTCAACACTGCGCTCCCGCCACTATCGTGCGGGTGCGGGGCGTGCGGGTGCGGGGCGTGCGGGTGCGGGGCGTGCGGGTGCGGGGCGTGCGGGTGCGGGGCGTGTGGGTGCGGGGCGTGCGGGTGCGGGGCGTGTGGGTGCGGGGCGTGCGGGTGCGGGGTGCATGAATGTGGAGCGTGCGGATGTGGGGTGTGTGGGTGTTGCTGGTAGTGGAGCAGGCGGGCGAGTATGGAGCGTGCCAGTACACCCACATCAGGAAGTGGCAGTAACAACACGTGCTATTGTTTACATACTGGAGACCAGGAAGCACCCCTCAACCCCAGCCCCTCTCCCCCTTCCCCCCCACATCTCCCCTCCGCCCCTCCCCTTCCCCCCCCCCACCCTTTACTCCACCTTTGACAGCCCCCTTTACCCCCCCCCCCACCTACCAATTCTTTCCCCCTAATACGGCACTTGAGTGACAGTGCTGCCAATATTTACATCATGTTGACCCTGGCACCCCTCGCTTGGCTCTGTCATTAGACCTCTCGCTCTGTGTCATATTGACCCCGGCTCTGTGTACCTCATTGTAGTGATGACACATGTAACATGTAATGACCACGAGGGGGAAGATAATGACATGGAAATGACAGATCAATAATGACAGGAGAGAGAGAGAGAGAGAGAGAGAGAGAGAGAGAGAGAGAGAGAGAGAGAGAGAGAGAGAGAGAGAGAGAGAGAGAGAGAGAGAGAGAGAGAGAGAGAGAGAGAGAGAGAGAGAGAGAGAGTAACAATTGTCTGTGGCCCTGGGGTCCTCTGTGGGGTCCAGGTGGGGGTCACGCTGACAAACTCTCCATGAGAGACACACACATATACACCAAACATTTGTAACACTGGATGTCACCCAGACGCCTGATAACGCTTTAATAACTCACCAGCATTTGCACCGCTGCGCCTTACACCGGAGCCCGCACCTGTGTGGCGACACCTGTCTCCCTGTGTGGCGACACCTGTCTCCCTGTGTGGCGACACCTGTCTCCCTGTGTGGCGACACCTGTCTCCCTGTGTGGCGACACCTGTCTCCCTGTGTGGCGACACCTGTCTCCTGTGTGGCGACACCTGTCTCCCTGTGTGGCGACACCTGTCTCCCTGTGTGACGACACCTGTCTCCCTGTGTGACGACACCTGTCTCCCTGTGTGACGACACCTGTCTCCCTGTGTGGTGACACCTGTCTCCCTGTGTGACGACACCTGTCTCCCTGTGTGGCGACACCTGTCTCCCTGTGTGACGACACCTGTCTCCCTGTGTGGTGACACCTGTCTCCCTGTGTGACGACACCTGTCTCCCTGTGTGACGACACCTGTCTCCCTGTGTGACGACACCTGTCTCCCTGTGTGGTGACACCTGTCTCCCTGTGTGGCGACACCTCTCTCCCTGTGTGACGACACCTGTCTCCCTGTGTGGCGACACCTGTCTCCCTGTGTGGCGACACCTGTCTCCCTGTGTGGCGACACCTGTCTCCCTGTGTGGCGACACCTGTCTCCCTGTGTGGCGACACCTGTCTCCCTGTGTGGTGACACCTGTCTCCCTGTGTGGCGACACCTGTCTCCCTGTGTGACGACACCTGTCTCCCTGTGTGACGACACCTGTCTCCCTGAGTGGTGATACCTGTCTCCCTGTGTGGCGACACCTGTCTCCCTGTGTCGTGACACCTGTCTCCCTGTGTGGCGACACCTGTCTCCCTGAGTGGTGACACCTGTCTCCCTGAGTGGTGACACCTGTCTCCCTGTGTGGCGACACCTGGTTGATACCTGGTTGATGGGGTTCTGGGAGTTCTTCTACTCCCCAAGCCCGGCCCGAGGCCAGGCTCGACTTGTGAGAGTTTGGTCCACCAGACTGTTGCTTGGAGCGGCCCGCAGGCCCACATACCCACCACAGCCCGGTTGGTCCGGCACTCCTTGGAGGAATAAATCTAGTTTCCTCTTGAAAATGTCCACTGTTGTTCCGGCAATATTTCTTATGCTTGCTGGGAGGACGTTGAACAACCGCGGACCTCTGATGTTTATACAGTGTTCTCTGATTGTGCCTATGGCACCTCTGCTCTTCATTGGTTCTATTCTACATTTTCTTCCATGTCGTTCACTCCAGTACGTTGTTATTTTACTGTGTAGATTTGGTACTTGGCCCTCCAGTATCTTCCAGGTGTATATTATTTGATATCTCTCTCGTCTTCTTTCTAGTGAGTACATTTGGAGGGCTTTGAGACGATCCCAATAATTTAGGTGCTTTATTGCGTCTATGCGTGCCGTATATGTTCTCTGTATTCCCTCTATTTCAGCAATCTCTCCTGCTTTGAAGGGGGAAGTTGTCTGTCTCCCTGTGTGTCTGTCTCCCTGTGGTGTCTGTCTCCCTGTGGTGTCTGTCTCCCTGTGGTGTCTGTCTCCCTGTGGTGTCTGTCTCCCTGTGGTGTCTGTCTCCCTGTGTGTGTCTGTCTCCCTGTGGTGTCTGTCTCCCTGTGTGGTGTCTGTCTCCCTGTGGTGTCTGTCTCCCTGTGGTGTCTGTCTCCCTGTGTGTGACTGTCTCCCTGTGGTGTCTGTCTCCCTGTGTGTGTCCTGTCTCCCTGTGGTGTCTGTCTCCCTGTGGTGTCTGTCTCCCTGTGGTGTCTGTCTCCCTGTGTGTGTCTGTCTCCCTGTGTGTGTCTGTCTCCCTGTGGTGTCTGTCTCCCTGTGTGCCTCCTGGTGTGCTTGGATTCACTCTTCCTCTACACAGATTACAGACACTAACCCCTCCCTGCCCCTGACCAGGGGAGCCTTACGGCTGAGTGGACAGGGTCCAGGATTTGTAGTCCTAAGGTTCCGGGTTCCATCCCCGGCGGAGGCGGAAACAACTGGGCAGAGTTTCTTTCACCCTGATGCCACTGTTCAGCTAGTAAATAGGTACCTTTTCACTAGCAGTAAATAGGTACCTAGGAGTTAGACAGCTGCTAGGAGCTGCTTCCTGGGGATATGTAACAAAAAAAAAGGAGGCCTGGTCGAGGACCGGGCCGCGGGGACGCTAAGCCCCGACATCATCTCAAGGTCAATAAAGGCACACAGAAAACGGCATCAGTACTTACTTTTCGCTTGGGGTCGGCGGCGGAGAGGTTCTGGGGTCCATTGGTGGGGTGGAGGGGTGGGGTCGGGGTGCTGCGAGGGGAGGGTGCCAGGGAGGGCGTGTCGCTCGGGGAGGGGCTCCTCCGGCCTGACCCCCGGCTCTGCTCTCCTCGCCTCCACGGGAAGATCACGCTGAAACACACCACAACAACCTGGTTAGATCATAATTGCTCAACATCGTCACTAAAAGCTTAGCATAATATCATTGTATAAAGCCCCCTCCCCCCCCCCACACACACTGTTTCCCGCGCTCTTTCTCAGTGTGGTCACCTACACTGACCTTGGTGGGGGTCAGAGGTTATCAGTGACACTGTCCTTGGTGGAGGTCAGAGGTTATCAGTCACACTGACCTTGGTCGCCATCTATAAGGATCAAACGTGAAAATATGAAGAGAAGAGAATGAATCATTGAGGAGGTGGGAGCAGGCAGTGAAGGAGCCATCAAGACGTCGTCACACTCCTGCAGGAGCCCCCAGACACGCCACCACGTGTCTGCACCTCCTACTCCTTCACACACGCAGTAAACACCGCACTTCTTGAAACTGTACATATCTAAGTCCAAGAGTTTAGAGATAGGTCTAGTAAAACAAAAATAAAAATGTTTTTTTCGTTTAATCTGTGATGACACATTGCCCAAAATCCAGGTATCCAATGTTTACCAACTGAACAAAGTACACACAGACTGTAAGCTTTCAAGCCGCCTCGCTCCACACCCAAATCATCTTCCAAGAATTTCATTTCCGCAGCCATCTTCCTCCCACAGTCTTGCCAAGCTCTTTGGACATCAAATCGAAAAAAAACTAAGCTGGTACTGCCTGTTAGTCTCCTGTGTATGGTACAAACGGCATACACTAAGCTTGTACAATCTACTTGTAAGTAAGCCTCTTACTTACTCATCTCAAGGGCCATGTAATGTTTCTTAGTGTTAGCTACAGTAATATGCTCAAATCAATGTCTTTCTAACCATCATCAATTTAAAGAAAATATAATCTATGGTTAACTATAACATGTATATTGCTTAATCTATAGAATACAGTCTGCAGAATATATTATATAGAATATATAGAATATATAGAATGAACTAACTAAAGTTGTGACTAGAGTGTAGCTTCACGTAGTATTATACTAACTAGCTCACCAATGCTCAACTAAACGAATACTGAGGTTCAGTTGGTGAGCCCACCATGGACCGGTGAGCCCACCATGGACCGGTGAGCCCACCATGGACCAGTGAGCCCACCATGGACCAGTGAGCCCACCATGGACCAGTGAGCCCACCATGGACCAGTGAGCCCACCATGGACCAGTGAGCCCACCATGGACCAGTGAGCCCACCATGGACCAGTGAGCCCACCATGGACCAGTGAGCCCACCATGGACCGGTGAGCCCACCATGGACCAGTGAGCCCACCATGAACCGCTGAGCCCACCATGAACCGCTGAGCCCACCATGGACCGGTGAGCCCACCACGGACCGGTGAGCCCACCATGGACCGGTGAGCCCACCACGAACCGGTGTAATAACCTGTCCCACTACCGCTCGCAGCACGGGACCCGGGCCCATAATACACAGACCCACTTTCCACAATTGCCAAGGTCTTGCCTCATTAAGTGAGGCTCCCACACGCGCCGGAGGTGTGAAGGAGGGGGTGAAGGAGGTGGTGTTCTCAGGCGGAGTGTATTTGGGAGGACTGAGTTAGAGCAGGTTTCTAGGAGCTTCAGGTGCTGGGAGGGAGGATACGTGGGTTTAGGAGGAGGAGAATGGGTGGCAGCTCATCCTCCTGTTTTGGTAGTATTTATAGTAACGATGAGGACCGTAGTACACTTACTCACGAATAGCTCAATTACAAAGTAGAAATCGGCACTATTGAGTTGGACAAACTGGAAAACTATTTTGTACTTATGTTGCAAAGACAATCTAAAGTAACCTAGCCTAACCTTCCTAGGCCTAATGCACGATATGTGAGGCCTAATATAGTACATATGTGTGCTATACTAGGCCTAGGAATATTTCAGTTTGTTCTCTAGCATTATTTTTTCCGACTCTATAAGCGAATAGTACAAAGTTCTACTATCTAACTGCTTAGAACGTCAATCTTTGTACTATGGTGTACATAGTTACAAAAACTACTATCTAAACAGGAGGATGGGTTGGGATTAGGGGTGCTGGAGGGATGAGGGGGGGGGGTGGGGGTGAGACAACAGCTGTCACCCCCCTCCCCACCCCCACACACTACCCAGGTCACCCAAACCGGGTTCGATCCCCGGTGGAGGCGGAGACAAGTGGGCAAAATTTTTCTTTCATCCTGATGCCCTGCTCACCTAGCAGTAAATTGGTACGTGGGAGTTAGACAGATGCTACGGGCTGCTTCCTGGGGGGGGGAGGGTTGGGGGGGTAACAAAAAAGGAAGCCTGGTCGAGGACCGGGCCGTGGGGACGCTAAGCCCCGAAGTCATCTCAAGATAACCTCAAGATAACCACTACATAAATCGCTTGAGTGTGTTCTAACTAGGTAGATGATATGTTGCAAACGAAATTATAAGGTTGGATTTTTCAATTAAAAGAAAATATAGATTGTTTCTCCAATCATCGCTCAAACTGACCACCAATTAGCGAATAAGGCGATAAATATATTATAACAAAACCAAAATAATCAACAAGATATTATCAACACTAATTATTGCCATAAAAATGACCACTAACAATCAAACAAGACAACATAACAAAGACTTGAGAATGGTCCAGGACGGACCAAAACGTCGTCGTCCCTTCACCTTCTAGTGAAGGTGGTCTAGTGGTAGTTTGGTCAACATAACAAAGGTGATGAGAAAGGTGGCTATTAACACACGAGAGGAAAACAGTTCACTGGGCACAAAACCCGATGGTGCAACTAGCTGCTGAAGAGCGACAACTATGACAAGTTGACAAGCCCCGGTACTCTGCTCGACCTACAGTAGAAGGTTGAGCCCTAGAACCCTTGCACCGTAGCCGGTTACATCTGCACCTTCTCTGTTGACTTGTTGGACTAAAGTACTTCGGAACTCATAAAGAGTTTAATCCATGTAAGAAAGCTCCCAAGACTGAGGGAAAGATGTACAGGTTTCGTAGGTGGGTGGGGATAGGTGCCTCGCGGCCCAAAAGGCCGTGAAGAGCGGATGAGTAAGCCAGTGTGTTAGTAGTTTGACCGGTGTCCACGCCCCGTCCGTCCGTCCGTCTGCCTTCTGGGGCAGATGTGAAGGTCGCAGGCAGGCAGCCCTGCTGGAGGCCCACACTGGGCCACTCTTGAGTCCTAGACTAACAATAACGAACACAAACACACATCATCATTGGGTTATAGATCCCAATAGGCTCAGGAATCTGTACACCAGTTGACAGGCGGGACCAAAGAGCTAGAGCTCAAGCCCCGCAAACACAACTAGGTGAGTACATCACCCATTACACCCCCCTCCCTCCACCCACACACCCGTAACACCCCCCCCCCCCCATCCCCTCACCTCACCCATCCCAATCATTTCCCTAAGTTCCTCCCCTTCCGTCCCTCTCTCAATCAATCATTCTCGTTCCCTGTCAATCATTCTCTCCCTCTCTCTGTCATTGGTTTACGGCCGCGCGAGCCGTAAACCTCCCCGGCCTGGTGTACAGCAACACCTTGCTCCACACAGGTATGCTCTCCACACTCAAGTGTTTCCAAGGAACGCTCTCCACTGTTTTTTAAAGTTGCAAGTCACAGAAAGTCTTTAATTCTGTGCACAAGTGAAAGTTTTATTGTGAAAAGTTGCGTTACAAGAGATGTGTTCAAGAACTGCACTCAAGTCACGACTGAACCATTCAGCAAGTGGAACACTGTAGCAAGAGCACCCGAGACACACTTCCCCTAAGACACTATTTCAGATATATACGTGGTGGGGGAGGTGTTGAGAAGGGCACGTGTTGGGTGGCACGTGTTGAGAGAGAGAGAGAGGGCACGTGGTAGAGGGATCTATTCTATGGGCTTAAGAAACAGGGTTGAGAGGACGGGGCACGTGGGCGGCGGAGACGGGACCCGCCTCAACCTCCACTAACAAGAAAATGACCCGCCATGACAACCACCAGATGCCTCCCTCTCTCCCTCGACCCTCCTGTCTCCACCACTCCCCACTTCTAGTAATCCACCATCACCACCCCCTTCACCATCGTATTCTTCCCTATCTCCCTTTCACCACTCTCCTCCACCAGTCCACCAGTCCACCATTCCTATCCACCTCGGCCACCCAAGAACACACACACACACACACACACACACACACTTCCCTCTTCCCTCTTCCCCCCAACCTCTCAACCTCTATCTGACTCTCAGTCTCACTCTATTTCTCAACCCCCCTATGCTATTCAGACCCCTAACTTTCAGACCCATTATGCCCTTCCTACCCCCCTAGATGCCCAGACCCCATTCGCCTACCAGGCACTCCCAGGCACCCCCCTAGCACCCCCCCACTCACCCCCACAGCCCCCACTTGCCCCCCAGACACCCCCCAGTTCCCCCCAGACCCCTGGTGAAAGGGGGAACTCTGACACCCGAGTTTCCAAGAAGAGTCTCAAGGTTTGGTACACCAATGCTGATGGGGTAGCCAATAAAGCAGAAGAGATAAAAGAAAGAGTTAGTGAGGCAGACCCAGACATAGTGGCAATAGTGGAAACTAAAATAAATGGCATGATCTCGGATGCAATCTTTCCAGAGGGGTACCAGGTGATAAGAAAAGAAAGGACACAGAGACAGGGAGGAGGAGTGGCACTACTAATAAAGCGGAAATGGAAGTTTGATGAGCTGGAAAATCCGGGTACCAATGAAAGCACAAGCTTCATACATGGAACTCTGACAGTGGATGGGAAGAAGATTGTAATCTTGATACTCTACAATCCCCCACCAAACAGTAGAAGGCCCAGGCAGGAGTACGAGGACAGCAACAAGACATGTATGGATGAACTGCAGAGGGCAGCAACTTTAGCGCATAGAATGAGAGCGAAGCTGCTGGTCATGGGGGACCTAAATCACGGAGAGATAAATTGGGAAACGAGGAATCCCCATGGAGGGGAGGAGACCTGGGGAGCGAAGCTGGTAGACGTTATTGACAGGAATTTCCTAACACAGCATGT